ATGCTTGCCATTTTGCATGTTGTTTTGACACATGAAAGTGAGCCCACTGTGTCCCCAGAGAACTGCTGACCTGCTCATTGGTATTTGTTGTTCGGATCCCTGTGTATGACTGGCTACAGGTGTTTTTACTGTCTTCTTCCCTTTGGGCAGCAGATGCTTTCTTGCTCTGTATAACTTTCTGGTATATATGATTTACCTATATATGATTCTTAGTTATATAAGAAGAGACCCTAGGTATGATTTTCAGGGTTATGCTGATTCCTCGTATGTGACCTCGGGCTCTCCCCAGCCATGGGATGGCTGCCATAATTTATGACTATCCATCTCAGGAGATGCTTATTTAATCTCTGCCTCAAAAAGTATCATGTTGCATAAGAAGAACTACATTCCACAGACAAGTAGACATAAAAATCCTACTGAAATTATACCAAGATGGAAAACAAAGCCCCTGTTTCTTATTGTTTGTATCAGCATTTAAAACCGTTTTGACCAGATAGTTCGGAGCTCAGTGTCAAGTTTCACAGATGCTACCCAGAGGAACAAGTGGGCCTGGAACCGGGGGGGGGGTGTGTGTGGGGGGGAGTAGCATCTGTCAGTGACAGTTTTCTAAAAAAGAATTTCTTTTCTTTTATTGATTCTAGAGAGAGGGTAAGGGAGGGAGAAAGTAAGGGAGAGAAACATCAATCAGTTGCCCCTTGCATGTGCCCCAACTGGCGACTGAACCCAGACCAGTGACCAAACCCACAACACAGGTATGTGCCCTGACCGGGAATTGAACCCGAGACCTTTCAGTTTGCAGGGTGATGACCAACCCACTGAGCCACACTGGCCAGGATGGGGAGTGAAAGTTCTGACAAGAAGTCTCAGGGTCCCAAAGGTGGTGGCAATGCAGTAAAGGTCAGACACATTCCATGTGAAAAACATGGAAAAATCATGGGAGCCTTGGAAAAGTTAAAGTCTGGAATGAGATTCAATGAAGTGGCCACACAATACAGTGATGGTGAAGCCAGGCAAGGGGATGACGTGGGTTGGATGACCAGAGGGTCCATGGTGGGACCATTTCAAGAGGCAGCATTTGCTTTGTTTATAAGTGTGCTGGACAAGCCCGTGTTGCAGACTGTCCAGTTAAAATGAAATTTGGATATCATATTATTATGGTGGACGGGAGAAAATAAAATTGTGTGGAACACTGAAAAAAAAAACATTTTGACCAAAGTCAGCAAAGTGCTTGTTTATAATAATAACAATATTTCTCTGTTGTTTGTGTTTGCAAAGAATCTCTTGCTAGGCTAGTTAAAAGAATGAAGGTCACTATCCTGAAATTCTTGAAAAGGCTAATAAGAGAAGAAATGGTTCCCAAGCCGCAGTAGGGACAGTCTGAGGTCTCCTTTTTTCCTCTCTAGTTTGTCTGATGGGCTTCTCTACCTTGAGGCATGTTTTCCTTAACAACAGCAATGTCCCAAGGGCAAGTTCAGTTTGAAGTTGGTAACTTTTGTGAATTGAGGCCTTTTAGCATTTATCTTCAAGGCTGTGTGAGGACCCATAAAACTAAAGATATCTGAGTTTTGGTCCTCATAAGAGATTTCTGGTGAATAAACATTTATTCTTGAGGCCACAACTGTCCAGCTGTAAATAAAAAGAATCCCGCTTCTTGGCCTTATATTCAAGGCTGGCCATGATAAGACTTTGAACTGACCTCCTAGTGGGAAGGGCATCAATTTCTCTCAATTCTGCTTCTGCTTCACAGGGTCTGAGAAATCCCCCTAAGGAAGGGGGAGAAACACAAGGACTGGTCTTGGATTGATTATGTGTTATATGGATATTTCAAGGCTGCCTTCCTTGGCAAAATACCTTCACCCAGCTGGCGTCCACATGTAGAAAAGAAGGACTATTTTGTAAAATACCCAATGCAAGATGTTAACCTTTTGAAATCCCTTGGGTAGACCTTTTCAAAGAGTGAGTATTGTCAAAGGCCACCTAAAAGTAGAAAATGGTAAATCAAAGTTAATCAAAAAGGGCTGAAAGGACAACCTGTAGCCAAGTAGAGGTGATAGACAAAGCTAGGATTGTGGGAGGTAAAATCACTTCCCCCTCTGTCTGACTCATACCACCATGAGGGGCAACTGTTCATTTGAACCTTAGGTCTGGAGACCAGGTTCCACTTACCCATTCAGTCCAAGCTCTGACATTTTCAGCACTAGTCGAGCCTCTTGTCAGCTGCCCCACCCTAACGATGGACTACACACCAGTTCGGGGGTTTATAGAGAGGTCAAGTTGCCAAAGGCTGCCGCATCAATGCTTCTATCTGTGGCTATGTGGCCAGCCCCTCTGCCAGTGCCATTCTCCCTCAGAGACAGGCAGTGGGCTATGATTTACAGTGTGTTTTCCAATTAACTTAAAGTTTAACTCAGTAAATCACTCATTCACCAACACCTACTATGTGTCAGGCAGTAGGTTCTAAATATAGATATTCCCTAGACTGGGAAGTCAAAATGCAGTTCAGCCTCAGAGCAGTGTTGGAAACAAATAATATGAAATAAACCACCAGCACAACAAAACCACAGTCTAGCCACCAAAAATATAATTTCAAGCAAATATGTACATGTGATTCTTGAACAGCCCTAAGTGGAATTCTGGCACTTATCTTAGAGCCCTTTTTGCCCTCTTTCTTCACTTCACAACGCATAATTGTCCCATGCCCCTTCCAATCTCCTGAAAACCTTTCTCAGGGATTAGCCCTCAGGCTACTTCTGCTCCAACCTGTCCCTGCTCTCAACTCTCTGTCATAAAACCTCGTAGAGCCATCTGGGCCCAGGTGAAGCATGAACATGTAGAGGCCAAGCTCTCTTCAGTGGATGTGAGGGACAGGTATGAGCTGAAACAGGATGTTTTGAGTTTTTTTACTGCCTCATAAAAAAATGAGAGATGTAGCTCTTGTCCCAATGAAGATCACCATAACTGAGGACGTCAACACTGAAACAATAGCAGTTCATTGTGAGAAGTGATTTGCTATGGGAATCCTGAAGAGATCCTTGGCCCAGGGGGAAGAGCTGCAGCCAAGGCTTGAGGGATGAATCTGGGTTTAAACCCAGCCTCTATGAATTTTGGACAAGTTACTTAACTTCTCTGTGCCTTGGTTTCCTCATCAGTGACATGGACATAGTACATTATATGGTTGTTGTAAGACTTAAATGATTTAATAAAAGTAAAGTTCTTGGACTAGGGTTTGCTACAATGCTCAGCAGTGCTCAGCAAACATGTGGTTAGTGCACTAAAATATTGAATAAGCAAATTCCTGGGGCTGTAATCCCAAAGCAACTTTGTTTTTTTCCTCCCACTGCCCCGTGCATCTGAATGAAAAGTCTTAAGACTTTCCTGACCACTCCGAGCCAGTGCAAAGTTGTGGAGTCATTTTCATGTTCAGAAATCAGAATGTGGACTCTCATACATTGATCAGCACTTTAATCTTCCATCTCTGTTCAGGGACACTGGCTGCAGTCACTGTCAGCATGTGTGGGACAGGAATGAGGCCAGCTTTCTTTCTTGTTCACCCCCTCTTACACTCACCAGTGGTTGCTCCTGACTTCACTGGCCGGGGGACATGCAGGGAGCAGGACCATTCTCATGCTTGGGCACCCACTCTCATTAACTGACTGAGTTCTCTGGCCTTAGAGATGCTAACTTGTTCTTCCCAGTGTACTTTTATGGGTTTTTTAGAAATCCCTCTTCCACCCTGTTCATTCATCACTAGAGAGGTTTGCCTACAGCTGCCTGGATTTAGGCAGAGGCAGCTGTAGTTTGTGCTCCCTAGACCCTAGGATCCTAGCATGTTGGGAACTGCCCTGCCCAGTTTCTGGAGCTGTAATCCTCCCATGGCTAAGGCTGAGTGAGTGACCTTTGGACCATAAGCCACTAAGGAGACAAAGCTTATCTCCCTGGCAGTAGCACTGCTTTGATCCTTTTTTTTTTTTCATATTTGGGCCCCTGCTCGATCAGTTAGCCAATGACAGGTAAGATTCCCCAAGGGGGGAATGACCTAAGACAGGCATGATCATGTGGAGGCCCCAGGAAAGGACTTGGGAGGCTACAGAGAAAGGGGGTGATGGACCCTTTCCTTTCAGCTTTGATGAAGCCTGACTCCCCTGAGTTGGCAAGAAGTCTCTGAAAATTCCTTGGCTATCTGCCTCCTCTGCCTGACTGAAGCCTGAAACAATAACAGAGGGCAGTGCAGCCCTGTGCTGGAAAGGTCGGGCTCCCTGGGTGATCAGGCCTGAGAAAAGAATATGTAAAATCCTATGAAGCCTGGTTTGCTAAGAATACTCTTAGTTAAATGATAAAGGTCCGAGAAGGAGATGAATTTGTTGCCCAGTTTTGTAGCCCTTTAGCTGACAGACCCTGACTCAGAATAGGCCCTCAGAGTTCTTTGTATGCTATCTACCGTTGATCCTTACTGCCTGACAGTGATTAATGAACTTTACCTGTATTCCTGTTCATACTGAAACCCAATAAAACCCTGTCAGGGAAAGTGTCAGGGCACTCTCCCCTTGAGAGGGTGGCCAGGCTGTTCTGAGGCTCACCCTCCTTGAAGAAGTAGCTGGGCTGTCCCTTTTCCTCCACAGAACTTGGCAGTCCATGTGAATTTGTCTCATATCTCATCCATAATGCCACAGGCACTGTGGGCTGGTGCACATGTCACTAGCAGTCCACCTCTGGCTCTCAGGTGGACAGCAGCTCAAAACCCCACTCAGCCCCCACTTGGCCAGCTCAGAGCAGGTCCTGGGAAACTCCTGTTTACATCTGTTACACAGACTCTGGGAAGGCAGTCCTTTGCAGTGCAAGCATGTCAGCATTCTGCAGGCTTTTCTTCACCATTTAGATTTCTCATCTGAAGTCTGACAGCAACCCAATCTGCTCCTGTCCTCAGGCTATAAGGGATTCACATTTGTACCTGAGTGTTCTTAAAGCTCTGCTCTCTTAAACTGAGCTGAAGGTGGACCTGATCTCTATTATGCCTCTTTAGGGAAGGTCAGAGTCCCAAACAAGCAGATTCTTCAAGAATCGTCTTTCTGACCCCCTCATTTCACAGCCCTCTCAATGCCTTCCTCATGTAGGTGGCAAGTTCTCAGCCACTTGCCCTCTGCCAGGGATCCAGGATGGTTGTCTCACAACTCAATTTGGTGTCTTTTGTCCATTTCAACTTCCTCCACAACTGTTAGAGACCATCTTTATCATGGGGAGGGGGGTGTACATGTCGGTAGTTTGCTAAAAGGTAGCACATATGGGGGAAGGTGGCAGATGACATGGCAAAGCTGGGCAGGGACTTCTTTGTCTAGGTAGCTAAAGACTGTGGCTCTTGTTTCTCAGGTCCTGCCATGATGGGAAAAAGGGTGTGGAAGGCTGGATCCCGTCTCCTCATGACAAACCTGTTATACAGTGAAGATTGTTTTTAATATGTGTGTTCTCATTTAATACTCACAAGTCAATCAGATCCTTGTTACATTCCTTCCAATTTTACAGATAAAAACACAGGTTCAAAAAGCTAAGTGACTGTCCAATGTTGTACAGCTAGGTGGTAACAGATCCAAACTTAGTAATTTAATTTCTGTTGTGCTCTTTTCATTACACCACAGTACCTGGAGCTGGATTGGGGGTGGGGCACCATTCTGAAAGCTTGGCATTGGGCAGGATGTTCTCCTACCAGAGGCGGCAGCTATTTGAGCCACCTGTGCCTGACCTGGCTGTCTGTGCTCACAGCTGCAGTAGATGTTCTGTCCTCCACACCCACCTGCCAAGCAGAACTGGCTGAGCTGGGAAAATACAAGCTGTGCCTTCACTCTCTCCCCTTCACAACTGACACCTTAAATACCCAACTAGTCCAGCCCAGGGTCTTGACCCCTTCATCCTGTGGTCAAATCTTCTGGTCACCTAGACCAGCAAAGGGTTCTGGGTAAGCGTGCTCTATCTCCCAAAGAGAGAAGAGCAAGTTCTCACTGAAATGGTGACCCATTCCATTTAAGACTTTCAAGATCTGCCAAGCTCTGTAGCTGCACTAAGCCTTTTGTTACGAGTCCCTAGGAGTTCATACAAGAATTCTTGTGCCCCTGTATTCTATATAGTTTGGTTGTAATTCATTGGAATGTAGGATCATATGCTAAAGGAATAGGAGATAGAATTTAAATTTTGTTCTCTCTAGCTAGAGGCTTGCATAACACTTTGTCTTTTTAAAAAATATATATATTTTATTGATTATGCCATTACATTTGTTCTATTTCCCCCCTTCATTCCCCTCCACCCTGCACACCCCGCCCCCACCATTCCCCCTTTGGTTTATAACCATTGTCTCAAGTTCTTTAGATTCTATATTTCCCATACTATTCTTGCCTTCCCCCTATCTATTTCCTACCTACCGTCTATGCCACTTATTTTCTGTACCTTCTCCCCCCTTCTCCTTCTCCCACTCCCCTGTTGCTAACCCTCCATGTGATCTTCATTTCTATGTTTCCACTCCTGACCTAGCTGTCCTCTTAGTTTGCTTTCATTTTAGGTGTGGTTGTTAATAACTGTGAGTTTGTTGTCCTTTCACTGTTCATGTTTCTTTAACTTCTTTTTCTTAGATAAGTCCCTTTAACATTTCATATAATAAGGGCTTGGTGATGATGAACTCCTTGAATTTGATCTTATCTGAGAAGCACCTTATCTGTCCTTCCATTCTAAATGAAAGTTTTGCTGGATAGAGCAATCTTGGTTGTAGGTCTTTGGATTTCATGACTTGGAATACCTTTTTCCAGCCCCTTCTTGCCTGTGAGGTCTCTTTTGAGAAATCTGCTGACAGTCTGATGGGAACTCCTTTGTAGGTGACTGTCCCCTTATCTCTTGCTGCTTCTAGGATTCTCTCCTTCATTTTAATTTTGGCTAATGTAATGATGATGTGCCTTGGTGTGTTCCTTCTTGGGTCCAACTTCTTTGGGACTCTCTGAGCTTCCTGGATTTCCTGGAAGTCTATTTCCTTTGCCAGATTGGGGAAATTCTCCTTTATTATTTGTTCAAATACGTTTTCCACTGGTGGCTGTGCCTTTCCCCCTTCTGGTACCCCTATAATTCGGATATTGGAGCGTTTAAAGATGTCCTGGAGGTTCCTAAGGCTCTCCTCATTTCTTTGAATTCTTGCTTCTTGACTCTTTTCTGTTTGGCCATTATTTGCTTTCTTCTGGTCCACTCCATTGATTTGAGTCCCAGTTTCCTTTTCATTGCTATTGGTGTCCTGTGCAATTCCACTCAGTTCAATTAGTTTTGCCTTCATATATTTGTCTAATTTGTGGCTATAACCAACCAGTTCTGTGAGGATCCTGATGACCAGTGTTTTAAATTGTGCGTCTGAGAGTTTTGCTATTTCTTCATTGCTTAGATCTATGGGCTCTGGGACTTTGAGATCTTCTTGCGACATTTTTGGTCTGTTCTGGCCCTTTAAGTGTGAGAAGTGGCACCTTGGACTCCCAGGTCGCTGGGTTGTGACGCTGTATGTGGGGGCATGGTCAGAGCGGGGAAATGGCGACCCCCTCTGCTGTTTCTCACAGCTGGGTGAGGATCAGCGCCTTAGGTGGTTCACCTGGGCCGGGCCACTCAGAGTCGCTGGGTTATGACGCTGTACGTGGAGGTGGGTTCAGACCAGAGAAATGGCGGTGCCCTCCACTGCCGCTTGCCGCGGGGACCCGCCAGGCCCCGGTCCAACTGCCCACTCCCTCACCTGTCCGCCCACGCACAAATGCAAGACCACAGTCAACACGCAGCACCGCTCCCCCGCTGTCTCCCCCGCGGCCGCTCACCTGGTCGCTCGCCTGGTCGCTCGCTCAGTTGCTCACTAGGTCCAACCTTGCACCTGGATTCGCGCGTCAGGATTCGGCGCCTGAGTCCGTCTGACCGAGTTTTCCTGTGCAACCCCGCTTCACCAGCCGCTGGTTTCGCCCCTTACTGGTCAGGCTAAAGAATTTGTTGTTAACGGACTTCCGAAAAGTTCAATTTTCCGTGTTCTGGCTATGTTTTCTGTTGCTAATATTTAGTTGTCTCTAAACTTGGTTGTGTGAGAAGGCACGGCACATCCACCTATACCTACATCTTGGCAGAAGTCCTCATTTTTTTGAATTCTTGTTTCTTCGTTCTTTTCTGTTTGGTCATTTTTTTCTTCCTTCTGGTACACTCCCTTGATTTGAGTCCCAGTTTCCTTTCCATCACTATTGGTTTCCTGTGCATTTTCCTTCACTTCAATTAGTTTAGCCTTCATATGTTCCTCTAATTTATGACTAAAATCAACCAGTTCTGTGAGCATTCTGATCACCAGTGTTTTGAACTGTGCATCTGATAGGTTGGCAATTTCTTGGTCACTTAGAGTTATCGGCTCCAGGGGTTTAAGTTCTTCTTGAGCCATGTTTTGTTCTGTTCAAGCCTGTTACATATGAGGAGGGGAGCCTTAGATGTTCACCAGGGTGGGGTCACCCAGGTCGCTGGTTTGTGACACTGTATGTGGGGGCGGGGTCAGAGAGGGAGCAATAGTGGTCCCCTCTGCTGCTGCCCGCTGCTGGGGCCTGCAAGGTCTGTCTCACTGCTTGGTCCTTCATTGGTTTATCTGCGTGCAAATGTGCGACGGTTGTCAGCCTGCCGCCTTGCACCTTCACTGGGTCAGCCTGTTGCTACCGCGCACCTAGGATCTGCCTTCAGCTGCCAGTGAGCCTGGGTTGGGGGATCTTTCTTGCTTGACCTGCTCTGCTGCTGGCTCTGCCCCTCATACTGATCTGGCTGAATGGTTCATTGTTGTTGGACTTCTGTATAGTTCAATTTTTCTGTGGTTTGGCTGTGTTTTCTGTTGCTAAAACTTTATTGTTTTTAAACTTGGTTGTGTGAGAAGGCACAATGTTTTCACCTACGCCTCCATCTTGGTGGAAGTCCCAGTCTTAATTAATCTTAATTTTTAGAATAATAAGAGCAATATATGTTGATCGTGAAAAAAAATCAGAAAGTACAAAAAAAAGATGAAAACAAGTTAAAAGATTACTCCTGGGCTTTATGTTTTAAGATTTTTGTGTCTTTCTTCCTAACATCATATTCACATATATAAAGCATATCTACAGACATGCTTGTAACAAGATTAGAATTTTATGGTAGGCATTGTTTTGTAATGAGGTATTTCTTACTTACCTGTATATCCTGGGCATATCCTCCCAGCATTAAACTCAGTGAACTTTTAAACAGTCCTGTGTGACAGATTCCACTTTGTACTAGAAAGACAACAGATGGAACAAAATAGTGAAGTCATAAATTGTGACCACCCCCTGGGTATCTTCCCTTGGCAAGATACCAGTCACATCTTAGCAACCCAGACTGAAGAAGCTGACCGTGCTATGCTGTTATGGCTCAGACATTTTTCTTTTCTACTTTGAAAACAAAATTGAGTTGAGTGTCCCCAACTTCTCCCACATCCTATAGCTTGGGGTGTGACCCACCATACAGGGTTCCTGCAAAGGAAGCCTGTATATATGTCCTTATGTTCTTTCCCTTTTGTCTTCTAGTTCTGGCCCTTAGCACTCTGCATTTTCTCCTGTATTTTATCTTTTAAGTACAGGCCATTGTACCAGATCCTCCCAGTTATCCTGTAATTAAAATGTGCACAACTCCGTTGAAAGCCCTTTACACAAGAAGGTCATTTGGCCCAGTGAATGATGGGACTCTAAATTGGATTTTTAATAATGGACCAAACCCTGTTATCTCACTATGTCTCAAAGGAAAGCTCCTTTGCTATTAAAGTCAAGTACACAGTGTAGTCAGCCAAATGAATTTAAAAACTTAATGGTTTAGTAACAGGTCATGTTAGGGGATTTTAGAAATTTATAAGTGGCAACAAGAGACCTAATAGTTTCTAACATTCTCCCCTGAACTGTTCTCACAGTCTGTAACTAAAAGTGCCCCCTCTCCACCCACTGCATGTCTGTGGTCTATTGTGAGAACCATGAGAACCATTTCCTACTATTTGCAGGAAATTTCTCTTTTCAGTTCAGGATTTTGCTAGAAACTTCTTCAACCACTTTTCTTCTGGGACTCTAGTTTAATCCTTCCTTTGCTACCTCTTCAGTTCATACATATCTCTACATGAGAAAAATTTGGATACTCTTTAGAAATATTTTCAGATGTGTTTCCACATCTGTAAATGTTATTCTCCTGGGTGCTTGGCACCCAGTGAAGGAAGCAGTAGGTGAGGGCACTTCAGATGGAGGGCATATAGCCATCACAGGAACAATATAATTGATTGGTTTTAATAGTTAAAATACAGTTTTGGTTTAGTTCCCAGCCAGGCTATAGGCTTGGTGGTGGTCAGGGGAGTATGAGGAAGGGAGGGTGTTTGAAAGGAAGAATCTCTGTTAATTTGATATAGCAGCAGTAGGAAACAGCTGCAGAGGTGGGCCGATGGGCCTCTAGTCAGGCACAGAGGCCTTTGAGAGCTGGGGTTGTGGGCACTGACCAGAGGCCTGGCAGGAGCAGCTGTGGCTCCACCATTCCCTCCCAGAGAGCAGGCCAGCCCAACCACTCCACACCAATGAGGAAGCAAAATTTATGGCTCCACCACTTCCATGAGGTCATGGTCTTGACCTCAGTTCTTTAGTCATGGCCTTGGTGAGGAGCTAGGGGTAGTGGTTCAAAGAAAAAAAGCTGAGAAGTTAAGCATTTTGCTTTAATAGACTGAGCATTTAACTAGAGGGATTGTTTCACTTATCACATTGGAATAAGTTTCTGGATTCAACCAATCTGTGAGGGCCAGCTGATGATTTATAAAGAAATAGAGGAACTGTATTCCCTTTGCACATTTGAGTGTGGTGTGAGTAAGTGATGAGATGCCATGATGGCTCTAACTGAAGGCAGCACTATAGGTGTGCTTCCTGAGTGTGGAGGCTCGTTTTGTCTAGAGCAGTCAGCAGAGGAAAGAATTCCAGATTTTTTCCGTGTGTGTGTTTGTGTGTGTGTGTGTGTGTGTGTGTGTGTGTTGACTGATTAGGATACAGAGTTATATGAGAAGAACATTCAGGGTATTATTTTTATTTTTTGCTAACCAATGGTATTGGGTAAGTCCTTCAAGTAAATAGAAGATGGTACTATTGAAATTGGATACCTAATAGTATCATCTGATAAAATAAAAGTTCTTCATCAAAATATTAATGGTTAAAAAGGGAGGAGATAATCTATAGTATTGAGAAGGATCAGGAGTTGGTTATTAAGTAATTTAAAAATTAGTTGATGCACCAAGCTACTTTTGTTACTTTGCCTCCACTTCCTCTAAATTTTAACTTAGAACTAAGGTTAGAATTAAGGTTCTTAATCAGCTAACTTTAAAATAGACAGATTTCCCTGGATTATCTGGCTAGCCCCAATGTACACAAAGGTCCTTGAAAGTAGACCCAAGAGAGAACTGGGAGGTGTTTGCCTTTACATTGTTTCAAAATATCCTGAAGTTTAAGGTGTTTTGTGATACTTTCAATTTATAGTGGGTGAAATTTTATTTCCCTCCTTACCATATATCATTTGTACTCCCTTGTCTTTTTCCTTTGGGATGGAGTTGATGGTTAGCAGAGCAAAGGAACAGTGACTGTTACTATAATATACCTCAGTTATGTCTCAAAAAGCTATCAAGAGACTATTTTTCTTGTAGATGCTGTGTTTTCTATTTGAAGAATCTGAAATATATTCATGTCTCCTTATCTTAAACTCAGTAAAGATGCAGGGCAGACTTCTGTACTTCTTACTGTACTTCTGGATTTCACAGTGATCCTGGTCTTGGGGAAAGAGGAGCCAGAAAAGATAGATGATATGGGCAGTGGAGGCAGCGGGGGTGGGGAGGCAGGGAGGAAGGGAAGAAGGGAGGAAGGGAGTGAAGGAACCCAACATTTCCATTCATGGCATGACTAGAGGCAGGGAAAATAATGGTTTTGTACCACTTTCTGGATTCCTTGTTTGTCCAGAATCAGCTCTTTGAGGGATTTTTCTGGTGATAAAGTGCACCCATATGCACTTCCAGAAGTTATCAGGATAACTAAAAACTTACACTTTCATTCCTAAAGATTAAAGGGGAGTCATTGTTATTTTTACCATGATTATACAAAAGAAAAAAATGTTGAAGTTCAGGGAGTTGTGATTTGTACAAATTCATGTCTGAGCAAGGGGATGGCTAGGATTATATCTCTGATCTATCTGATAAAGCAAATACTCCCAAATTCAGATCAGAGGAACTTCACCAGAGACTGCTAACCCCACACTTCTTCCAGGCCCTGTTTTGGGTTCTATGAGAATGGGTTTCACTCTTGTTTCCAGCCTGATTTCTCCAGAGTCTCAGATTTAATCTTGGGACACTTTGTTTTGGGGAGGTGAGAAGCAACTAGAACTGTCTCAGGGCAAGAGTGCTGGAGGTGAGGGAGATTGAAATGGCTTGGGAGATAGTATTTAGATCTTAGTGAATAATTTTTGTTTTCCATTTAGTTAGGTTTCACCCTGGGCAAAAATGAGCAGAGCTCCTGAAGTCCACACCTTGAAAAAGAGGATAGTGCATGTATCTGAGTCAGGTAATCAAGACTGCTAATTGTTGCCCTGAGTACCTTTACCTACTATGGCTTCTGTTACCAAAAGCCCATGTTGCTACTAATTATCCACGGTCCTCATCATTCAACAAATATTTATTAAAGCTTGGGAAACACATAACATTCTATCAGATTTCAAGATACTACTCAGGTGTTTTTTAAATAGCATTCCTCCTTTTCTAGTATTTGATGAACACATATTGATGGCCAGCATGTACTCATTTTTAGTTAGTGCATCAGAAAAGTTTTTCCTGCATTCCCATTTGCTATTCTTTTTGTCAGTCTCTTTCTCACACCTTTTCCCTGCTACAGCCACTGTATCATGTAAGAATTGTTTGGCCGACAAATTGTGTTTGGTAACAAAGACTTTACTCCAGTGGCTTAAACATACAAAGTGGTATTCTCTTGTAAAAATGATATCAAGAAGTGGGCTATCCAGTGGAATTGCAGTTATCAGGCATCCTTTTATTTTTTGTGTCTCACCATATTAGTATGTCTTCTATTCTCAACATAACTATATGGGCCAATATAGCTGCCAGGGTGTTGACTATCACATGCACATTACAGAACTGAGAAGGAAGAAGGTGGGGGATGGCAAAAAGCATACCTCTAAGTGAGGTCCCTTTAATGAGGTTTTCTCAGAAGCCCTACATTTTACTTTTGCATACGTCTACATCTTATTGGCCAGATTTTTTTTTGATGGCTATACAGACTGGGACATGTAATCTTTAGTTGGGTACTGCTGTCTTCAAAATTGCAGAGGTTCTGTTAGTGAGGAAAGAAAGGAGGAATGATGTGGAGAAGAATATGATCTCTACCACAGCACGTTAATATGTATATATTTAAAATATGCTTCCTATATTTATAATAGAGAAATATTTTTGGTTGTGAAAAAATTTAAATATACATGAGATTAAGGACAATACTACACTGAGTTGCTATGTTCCCATCTCCATAGTTAATAATTTCCAACCTTCTGCCACTCTTAGTTCATCAATCTCCATCCCCACCTTTTATTTTAAAATATTTTAAAGCAAAGGGCACTATCATTTCCCTTGTCATAGTTCAGTATACTTCTATAAGAAATAAGGACTTGAAAAATAATGAAAACATTAACAAAAATGTCTTCACATTATAGTAAGCAGTTTATGTCCACTTTCCCTGATTGTCTCAAACTGTCTTTTTACAATTGGTTTGTTTAAAACAGGATACAAACAAGGTCCACATAGCCTTGGGTGATATGTCTCCTTAAGTCTCTTTTCATCTAAAATACATTTTCCTCCTATTTTTTTAATGACATTTGTTGATGAAAGTGAGTCATTTGTCCTATAGAATTTCCTATGTGCTGAATTTGATTGATTGCCTCCTTGAGATTTTAACAAGTTTCTGTATCTTCTGTATTTCTTGTAACCTAGTCGGTAGATCTAGAAGCTTGATCAGATTCAAACGATTTTTTGGGGCCAAAATTCTTTATAGGTGGTGATGTGTGCTTCCTATTGTGCCACTCCACAGCAGGAATTTTGCCCCTTCTTGTGACAATAAGATTGATCTTATGGTTCAAGTGCTGTTTACCTGACCATTTATCCCATCCTTGCTGAATCTCCCAGTCAACCTGTTACCTACTGTTTTGGCAGTCACTGATATTTGTTGCCTAGATA